TGTGTGTGTGTGTGTGTGTGTGTGTGTGTGTGTGTCGCTGCTAGAGGGTAGAGCACATACATCATAAATTTACCTGTGTGCATGAGTGAAACTACTTTCCTTCATTTTGTCGTTTATTTCCATACTCATGCAAGTCTCAGTGTGTTTACTGAAGTGTGCAGTGACGCTGCCACACAAGTGTGTGTGTGTGTGCTTGTGTGTATGCGTGTGTGTGTGTGCATCTTTGGCAGTAGTCAGTCCAGAATAAACACTTCCTCGTCTCATATTTTAGCATAAGAAAGCTGCCGTCTGTATCAAATGTAACACACGCAGACACTCGCACCGCTGCCATCATCACACCTGGCTACACAACTGGCCAATACTTACACACAGACACACACACAAATGGCTGTATTGAGTTCATATAATTTCATATTAAAAAATAGGACTATTCGTACATTTTTCTCTGCTGGTTTTGTGTGTCTGTTTTCGTAATGCTGGCGATTGTTTTTCCAATTTTCTTCCAAATCCCCTCTTCCTCTTTGTCTCCCCAGTGTCTGTCAAACTGTCTCTCTCTGTTTCTCGCTCTGGCTAATGTGCTGTAGATAATGGTCTTTCTCAAACCTGAGAGAGTCAAGCTCAACTTGTATTTGCCTGTCTTAGGAGTATCGTGGACCAGCTGAAGCGATGTCAGTGTGCCGGCCTTCCTCCATCTGAACTGCCAGAAAAATACAGAATCTGCCTCGCAGCACCATTAGCAGCACACAGAAGAGGTGTGTGCCTGTGTGTGTGTGTGGTTTCATGTGTGTATGTTGAAGGGTGTAGTGAGGGCTTGAATGATACTGGTGGACAGACAAATGGACCAACATCTGAGTGTGTGTGTGTGTGTGTGTGCGCGCGTGCATGTGTGTGTGTGCACTTGTTTGAGGATGTGTGACCGTGTGCTTGTGCATGTAGAGGACCAGAGAGAACGTGGGAGGAAAAAAACAAACGAAAGGAGGTAAAGAGAGAAGTAGTGAACAAGAGATGATGATTGCCGAGGGAGAGGTATGGAGCTGTGTGGGCAACAAAATTGGACAAGAGACGAATGAAAGGTCTATGACGAGAAAAAAAAAACATCCAAGGTTCAAATGGAGTAGAATGAATAGACTCTACATTCCTCTTCAAATTAACAATTTTTGTTTTTGTCTAAAAGCAGAAATGAGAGCATAACCTTGAGGGATGTAATCATAGAGAGATCATGCCTGACCGCTCTGCACTCTGCACTGTACGGATCAATAAATACCACTGAACATTCAACAATGATGCAAAAATAAGAGTTAGTTTGGTTCCAATGTGGCAAACACACCATCCTGCTTGTTTTCTTTTTCGGCTGCTGTTCACACACACAACAACACTCCATTATTGAATTTATTTTGTCCGTAAGGATCTGCTGTTGCAATCTGCTTTACATCGATGAGAATAGCAAATGAAAGAAAATGAAAGGAAGGAATAAACAGTGTTATGCAAGGACATTTTGTTTATTTTTTGCCCATGTTCATTTCCCCTGCATATTTCTATTAGTATTAGAACATGGAAGAAGAACAAATAAGATTAAGAGCAACACAAGGACATGGAAAGGAAAGGACAGATTTTGTTTTTTCTGAATTGATGCATTATGTATTATGAATACTTTCTTTCTTTCTTTCTTTCTTTCTTTCTTTCTTTCTTTCCTTTTTTCTTCCAGCTGTTGTCATTCCTATCTTGGACCAGGAACAGGATAAGGCTGTCGCTGTCTTACTGGTGAGTCCTTGCACATACAGAAGAGTGTCAATAAAGTAATGAACTGATGTAATAATTAAGTTCCTACATATGACATCATGGCCTTATATACATTTACCGTCAAACAACATGCAGTATATGGATTAGTTTTCCTTTACTTAACATATACAAATTAAATGAACCCCACAGAGACAACACAGCCTGCAAGAGTCAATGGTGTGGACTGATGTGTCTTTGTGTGTTGCAGGTGGGCTGTAATCCATTATCTGATCAGGATGAACTGCATCTGAAATTGCTGGAAAAACATGTAAGCTCTCTCTGTCTCTGTCAGTCTTGGTCATAAATGTGAAAAAAAATAACAACTGAGCAACAATAGCTGACTCACTGGAAGAGGAACATCTTTCAGCACAAGGGCCATTACCATGGTATTTTACAGAAGGGGTAAAGCACAACCCATAGGGAGGCAGAATCTTTGTCAATTATTTAAACACAACTAGACACAGATAGCATCTAAAGGATGTTGCAGAACACGGGGTTACATAAACAGGAAAGGTCTTCACAGTGGCAAAACAACATCACCAAAACTGGTACAGAATTTAAGGCAGAGGTGAATTTACAGTGAACTGCTAATACAGTGCAAGACTTTCTTATATGAAGTAAATCTAAAATAGCTACAATAACTCTAATGATAACATTTTTTGACAATTTCTGACATTATGAATCCATTGGATTTCAAGCATGTCTTGCTATTGTTGCTCTATATATCTCTGTGATCACACAAGCTCAGTAGGGAATCCTGTGTGAGACTGGTGCAACATTAACTTCAATGGCCTTTCCTTTCATTTCTGTTGTTCTGGATGAATGAAAATAAAATGACATCAAACAGTATTTAGTCTTTAATGTCAGCTGATTCTGGAGCTTGTCTGTGTGTCTCTTCCTGCGCGGCATCACAGGCCTCGGTGGCGTGTGTGCGAGTCCAGGCTGTTCAGACGTCCTACCAGAGGCCTCCCCTCAGCCCCTCACCCATACAGTCCCACAATGCACTGCTGCACCTCAATGTGTCAGAACAGGACTACTGCGAGCTGGACCGCAACATCCTGCAACTCTGCGGTAATGTCCGCACACGCACACTCATATACTCACACAAACACGCACAGATAACATGTTTGATTAACAACATATGCAAGATCACATTAAATACCTCCTACATCTCTCTTCTTTCTTCTTTCTGTCACATACATCTTATATTTCCTCCACCTCGCATAGACAAACACAAAACTCTGAGGCAAACATAATCTCTCACACATGCATACACACACTGGTATATGAGAGGCGAGGTATGTTAATAGAGTAAGCCCATCTGGATAAAAAGCTCTATGAATTTAGATGGACTCTGTCACTTGCAAAAGGAATGTGTGACAGCTCCTGTGTGAAAACAGAACGCTTTGCAAAAACACTGTTTAAAATCTCATGCATAATGGAAGTGGACTCGTTAATGCCGTTCCTGCGCACATACACATACATCAACATTGTTTACTCCCTGGTAATTGTCAACAAATATGAGCTGCCTTTAGTCTCCTCAGTTTTTTTCTGGCCTTTCTGCTTCTCTTTCCAGCTCTTTCCTTCCGTCTTCGTCTGCAGTCCAGGCACCCCTCCATCCCCTGTCTTGTCTTCATTATTAGTCCCTCTGTTAGCTGGTTCCTGTTCACCCTTCCACGACCTGGCTGTCTCAATGCATCCCTCCCCGGATTGCTTTCTGTCCACTTGCGTACATGCTCTGCATTCCCCTCCTTCCTTAACGCCAATCTGCCCTTCCTCCTCTCTGGTTTTTACTCCCATCACTCCCTCTCTCTCTCTCTCTCTCCATTTTCTCTTTCAGGTGAGCTCTATGACCTTGATGCAGCCTCTCTCCAGCTCAAAGTCATCAATTATGTAAGTGGCTGAGATCACTCATACCCTCCCACATACACATACACACAGTTGCAGACTTACAGCACATGCAAAACATGAAATCCTTCCCAGTGACTTTTTCGCCTTTTCCTGTCGGTACCCACACCACAAGCTTTTTATCACACAATTACTTCATCATTCTCTGTATAGTATGTGCCCCTCCGTATATATGACGTACTCTCTGTAAAAAGATGGGAAGCAGGGGGGAGAGGTGCGGAGATTGATTGCAGGGAATGAGGAGCTTTGGATGAGTGGGAGGAAGGAGAGAGAAAGAGAAGATACCAGGCTTCAGTAATAGTATGTGCAGGAACATGAAAACAATTTAAATGTTTGAAATTATTCACAGATAAAGAAAATATGAGAAAGAGGAGGATATAAGCCACAAGAGAGGGAGGGAGCATTAAAGGTTATACTGCATCAAAAGCCCAAAGCGTCAGTCCATCAGGATGTGTGCACACGCTTGTGATTATTTTCACACTGCAAACTTTGTAGGACTTTGAACTTTTACATTGTTTTATTAACAGGAAATATATATACTTTGCATTCATCAGCTCCAGCTAACCAGTCGTGAAACTTTCCTGCTTTTCTTTGTATCTTGTGACAGTTAACTAAAATTTGATAATGAAAAGTTGCCACCCTCATGCTTGGATTAGATTTTTGGAGATTTAGATATACAAAATATATTTAATCTCTGGTAGATTATCACAAGACCTCATTATTGTTTTATACAAAAACAAAAAGTCTGGGAATTTATCAGGACTTGTTTTGATTATTAAATAATAGATAAGACTCTGTTTTTAATCATTAATGGTATGAGGAAATCAGATTTTACAATTATAATTTGCATCCTAAGCACTCAGTAATTTAAATGTTAATTGTTTTTCACCAAAGTTTTACTTTTTAGAGACTAGGGTGCATAATCAGCATGTTATTTTTGCCTCTTTTTCAGTTTTTCTTTCCCATTTTTCTCCTAATTTTCTAAAACGTCTTCTGTCAATATCAAAAGAATTAACTTTTAACTGCACTTTACTTTTGACAGTATATCTTTTGGGTGCACGGGGGCAAACAGAATTGTGTGAAAATCAGTTCAAACCAATGTGGTCCTGTGGTCAAACAACACTGCTGCAGCAGTGCGGCCTGAATGTAAAACCTCAGTCAGCCTTTGGTGCCTCCGAACCTTCTTTTGTCATATTTTTCCTGCATTTGAAGGAAAGGGGAGGTTGAGGTGCTGCAAGAGGCTGCAGGGGTTTGAAAATGTATTTTGAATCCTACATGATTTGTTTCGCCTGTTTATTGTTACAGTTGTAAAAAGGAGTGGCGGGTGGGGGGTTGGGGGTTCGGGGCAATGGGGGTGGGGGTGGGGGTAGGAAAGGCAGCAGGAGATTTTGCTTCTGAAGAATTGTCAGTTTGGTGGGAAGTGCTTGGGGCGGCTCTTATGGGATTAACAGTATTTGGGAAAAAGGGGGTGGAGGGACTTATTGTATGTGGGTGCAGCGACATGCTTTATGTGTATGCGTGTTTGTGCTGCATGTGTATGTGAGTGCATGTTGAGTGCTTGCGCTGTGTGACTGAGGGGTGAGCATGTTGGCAGTGGCTGGTGTTTATTCCTGTCCTGGTTGTTCTTCATCCAGCTCTGTGGATTACAGAGACTAATATTGTGTGAGGCAACGCTGCTCTTAGGTATAACTGTGTGTGGGTGTGTGAACATCTATGTATGCTCATGTATATGCCTGTGTACCTACAGTATTTGTGTCAGCGTGTATGAAGGTGTGTGTGTGTGTGTGTGTGTGTGTGTGTGTGTGTGTGTGTGTGTGTGTGTGTGTGTGTGTGTGTGTGTGTGTGTGTGTGTGTGTGTGTGTGTTTGAACCTCAGAGTGTGTTTCAGACTATTAATGTGAATGAAATGTTTCCCATCACAGACCGCAGCAGGATATTGGTTGCAACTCTGCAGGTCTTACAGAGCATGGCAGCAGAGATGTTCACTGCAGAGACACTGCCTCATTTATACACACACAGACACCTAGATGTGACCTTGTCTTGTTTGTGAAGAGATTTTCAGCATTCCGGTTCAAAGGAAAACCTCGGCATGATGATGTATTTTATGTTATTTTATAAGGTATGAATGTTACGATGAGACGATCACTGATTAACTACAAGTTTTCATGAATGAAATGTGAAGAATCCAAGATTGTTGTGAAAAATGAGCCTAGGTATACAAACATACTTATCAAGTCATATTAGTTGGAATATGTATGAATAAGTATATAAATGTAAAGCTGTTAACTGGAAAAGAAAATAACTGTATATCCATCTTAGAAAATCATTGTTCATTGCAGACTTGCATTTAGAAACCAGTTCAATAAATCCTCTCACTCGCACTATTTTAGTTGTGATAAAACTCTAGATTGATTCCAGATGTTATGCTAAACATTTAGTTAGTATTTTCTGTGAATAATAGAAACATATATCACACTTGTAGTTTGAAAAGTGCCCCATAAATAAAGATCATTATTATTATTATTACTACTTGTAAGTCTTAATCCTCAATTTGATGCAACTGCAAGACAACAAAGATAATACTGAATTCTTGCCCCACCCTAGCTCCAGGCATTTTCCATTGCCCACTGATTTCTAATTTCATCTTCACACCGAGGCTACGCTCCAAAGAATCTTAAATTGAGGCTTTAAAAACAATCTGACCGAGTCTGACAGAGAGATTTTTGTGATTATATTTCAGGACTGATGTTGTGTTTGTGCTCTCCTTCAGCTGCAGCAGCAGACTCGGTCGCAGTGTTGTTGTCTGCTGCTGGTGTCCGAGGACAACCACCAGCTATTTTGCCAGGTACAAACACACACACATACACCCACAACCCTTAAAGTCTAAACCCTCAAACAAAGTTGTGAGGACCTGCCAAAATGTCACGTTCCATAAATGTGACTCCCAAGGTCTCATAAAGATAGAAGTACAAGTACACAAACACACACATACCCACAAAAAACATTCTCTCCGCATCTTTATAACGCTCATACACATTTGTTCTCATAATCTCTCTTTGAAATACCGCACAAAAACAAAACACACAAATACTATAATTGTCTCACACACATGGTCTCTTCATCTCTCTCAGTCTCCCCTGCCACACACAAACACACACACGCACACACACGCACTCTCTCTCACACACACACACACACATACACACACGCACACAAGCACACATACACAGAGAGAGAGAGAGAGCCATCTCCCATTTTAGCAGTGACTCATTCACTAAAGAGTAATTTGGACATTAACATTTGAATAAGCAGTGACCTTTGACCTTTGTGACCTTTAGGTTGTTGGTGACAAAGTCCTGGAAGAGGAAATCAGCTTCCCGGTGAGGCAAAAAACAATAATAACAATAATTTATTCATAATAAATAAATATTGATTTGTTTATTTCGTCTTTTCATTTATTTTCCAGTTTGTGTTCATTCTTGCCTTCAGTCAGTCAGTCACTCATTCCCTTGTGTGTGTGTTTTTTTTTCTCTCACACTGGGGGCCATGAGGTGGTCTAGTACACTCAGGTGTATTCAGAAGGATTTGTTGCAGTTTTTAACAAGCATACTTTTGATGCCAGTGCGGTAACCCTTGTTGTAGGTTTCTTTGAATGACACGATAGAACAAACCTCCCACATGTAATCTCTTATAATCCCTGGCAGTGGTTATAATTAAGAAAATTTGGGCAGTAGAAGTAATCATTTCCTTTGGGTTGCTTTAAGTCTCCTGTCCCTGGTTGTGGTGCAGACGTAGCATTTTTACCAGGGTAATGATGTGTGAAATCTTGATAATACTTGATGTAGAGATATATTCGGACACAAAAAAAAACCTCCTTGATGGGCAATTTGTGCTAATTTAAGAAGGGAGGTAACAGACTTCCCTCAGAATAAACATCCTTTATATATTTCACCCCTATAAAAATCTCAAGGCACTCTTTTAACAGTTCTCCTTTCTTCCTGTCTCTCACCGTCATTATTCTGTTTTTCTTTACCTCCCCACCCTTTTAACTCACCCTGTCTTTATGTCTCTCCTTTTCTCTCGTCTGTTCAGCTGATGTTTGGACGTTTCGGTCAGGTCGTCGAGAAGAAGAAGTCAATTACTCTTCAGGACATCAGTGCTGTAAGAATCCATCTATCTATCTATCTATCTATCTATCTATCTATCTATCTATCTATCTATCTATCTATCTATCAATCCAATCTTTGTGCCTCTCTTCCTCTCAGGAGGAGCGTAGGCAGCTGTCCAGTATGTTAGGCTGTGAGATCTCCTCCATGCTCTGTGTCCCTGTGGTCAGCAGGGCCACTGGTCAGGTGGTGGCTCTAGCATGCGCCTTCAACAAGCAGGGTGGCCAGAGGTATGTATATGTGAAAGATTGTGTTCATACTGTAAGCTATCATTAACCTTTTTTTCCCCTTTTTGGTTATGTCCTGTTTTTTTTCCCTCTCTTAAATGATAAGGTCACAGTAAAACCTCAGAGTTCAAGAGACACTCACTGAAATCCTGTTTTGAACATGGTAGCTGTTCAGAAATCACTGTGACTCAGTCACTGGTGGCTTATTGCTGGAGCATATTTAAAATGCTGGATTGTCAGACTGAAGATGCTTTGGCTTTTACTAAATCCTGAAGCGCTGACTCATGGTAGATACAAAGATTTATCTGACAGCGGCTTACAGTAATGTTGGGATGGGTCGCCTGATTGGTTGAGCTCAGAACAGCTCAGATTTGTTGTGTTTGTAGCAGTGGAGAGTGTGCTGCTGTTTCCACTGAAATCTGCTACTAACCAGCAGAACATGCTGCAAGCCCCTGATGAACGGATACCATCACTTTGGAGCCGATGTGTGTGTGTGTGTGTGTGTGTGTGTGTGTGTGTGTGTGTTTGTGTGGGTGTGGTGCAGACCTATGCAGTGTGTGTGTGTGTGTGTGCGACCATGCAGATGGCTATGTGATGATCTAGAGTCAGGTCATGAGTCTAACAGCAGCGGATGGCTTGGTTGCTGGGTTTGGCACCAAGTCTTGGCTTTTATTTGTGTGTGTATGTGTGCGTGCGTGTGTGCATGTGCGTGCGTGCTGCTAGGAGCTGCACTATCTGCTGAATACAGAAGTCTGTAAAAACTGTGTGTCTGTGTTTGCTTAAGAAACATTTGGGAAGTGTGAGAAAGATTATTTTAAATTATTTGTATTAATTTTATATTACATGTGATCTTCTGCTGACATTTTAATTTTAAATGTCTTGTTATAATCCATCTTTCTTTCTCCTTCTCCTTGTCCAGCAACATGTCTCGATTTATGTAGCATATTTTATCTATCTTTTTTATCTCTTCACACACACCTCACGCACTCACACACATGCATGCTCTCACATACAATCCCTCTCCCTTGCATGCTCTCTCTCTCTCCTCTCTGAAGACTCAGATAGATGAGAAGGGATCATGTCCTATAATTTCTCCCTCTGCCAGTGGCACTGATGACAGAGCTGGCATCTCATTACCATGGTAACAGCAGCAGGATTATGGTCACAACGGCGCATAAAATGAGATAAATCTATCCTATGCTTCCAGCTCAGTCATCCAGATTTTAGTAGAGACATATATCTTAAAGACACATCCCCGTCTCACACAAATGGCATATTCATATGCAGAGTTTGCTTGTACTTCTCTCTGCCTGGCTTCAAAAAAGTGTGATGTAACCTCTTACCCAAGGTCACAGGTGCATGAAAATGTATCGTGATACCAGGTCCATAACTCAGTTTTGGTGCCAGCAGATGAGATTGTTACACACAACACACTCCATCACAAACATAACTGAATTTTGTTATATGCACAGAGCAGGTTGAGAATGCACAGTATGGCAAAGAATACTGATCATATAAACCTGCATCCTAAGCGGCAGTATAAGAAGTTTATATACTGTATAATTACTGCAACCAACTCCATGACAGTGTCACATAAGACCAAACAGAGTACACACATTATTAGTCACGACCTTTTTCATAAACACCAGATCTGTTGTGGAAATTGTTGTGTGCTTCTGGTCTTTGAAAATGGACTCCTGCTGGTCTTCATTCTAGCTGCAGGAATAATGGAGCTTTATTTTCTATCGTGACAGAAAAAAATTATTCTACAGCCTGACTCACAAGACTGAAGACTACTCTTTATTCTCTCTCCTGAATGTCAGCCATAAAGGATTTGTACCTCTTGTGGGAAAGTGAACTTAATCGCCTTTAAACTGAGATTCCCTGGCCATTTCCGAGCTCGGTACAAATACTGCCTTCTTTGCTTGGATTCCTGGGAGTCTAAGCTCAGGGCAAGAAAGCTGCAGAAATGTACACTGTTCCTGACTTCATCACAATAATGTGTCACTGCCCTCTGTAGGCAAAGAGAAGTAATTGCAGGCAATTACTAGCATCTCTGTGGCCGCTGCAGATGTTCATTTGTCTGATTAATGCTGTTAAGTTCACACATCATTTAATTTTAAAGGAGAGTGACAGCCGCATTCAGTACTTGCAGGAAATCAGAGATTGGTTCGGTTTGCAGTCATTTCCAGGCATTTAGTCATACACTATTAGAGTACATTTTCTTAAATTCAGTCTTACATAGTTGTGATTCTTTCTTCATCTGTGATTTTATTTCATAATTGTTCCATTAATTCATTCATTGATCTATAAAATGCAGTGGTAGAAGACCCATTGAGAGAAAAAAGGGTAATATTTCCCTCTGAAATGTAGAGGAGCAGAGCTGGAGATGATGATTTTTTTTTAAATGGTGAAAAATTACTTCCAAAGCCCACAATGATGTCTTGTTTGCCAAAACTTAAAGGAGATAGAACCACAGAATGATTGTTCTATGATTGTAAAAATGGTTAACCCATTCACTGAAGAAATAAATAAATAAATAAATTACAGTTTCAACTCTCTTAAATGTTTTTGAAATGAAATGTACTACTGTAATAGCAACACAAGATGACACACAATATGTATAATACGAATATCTGATGTGTGTGTGTCTGTGTGTGTGTCTGTGTGTGTGTCTGTGTGTGTGTGTGTGTGTGTGTGTGTGTGTGTGTGTGCGCGCACGTCCTCAAACACAGACACACAGAGGCAGATGAGCATGCCATCCAGCACTGTTTCTGCTACACTTCAACAGTCCTCACTTCAACTTTGGCCTTCCAGAAAGAACAGAAACTCAAAGTGGAGTGCCAGGTACTGCACATGCCCGCTCACCCAGTCACTCACTCACACACACACACACATTGTACGCATACATAAATATACATGAAGCTGCCTTTTTAAACAGCTTTTCGTGTCCACTGTTTCGCCACATAGGCACTCTTGCAAGTGGCCAAGAATCTCTTCACACACTTGGGTAAGTTTTCCCTCCTCTGTCTGTCTGTCTCTGTCACTCTCTGTCCGTCTCTGTGAAGGAAGAACGTTGTAGGACAATTTGTGTTAATGGCTGATATTTAAGTGGTCACCTAATGAAACGAATGACGCATGTAATTGAATGAGATATTACCGTCCCTAAAGGTGATTACACCCTGGATCATAACCATAAAATCAAAAGGGCATTAAAGGCACCCCCCACCCCCCCATATCCAATAATTACACCAAGGCATTTAGATTCTTATCTAACAGTGAGCACCAACAGTAGAATAAGTCACTGATGATTCATCATGATTGCTGCTACAAAAAAATTGATCCACTGGTAGAGCAAATTGCCTGTCACTGTACCGAACCGTTGATTACAAAAGCTCTTATCAGCTTGTACAGCTGATCCACCGGTACTCATGGTGTAATCTGTGTTTCTGTCTATCTGGGCTTTCCTTTCATTTCCTCTCTTTTCCTTTTATTTCCTCGCTCACCCTCTTCTTCTCTCTCTCTCTCCTTCTCTCTCTCTCTAATTTTTTCAGATGACGTGTCAGTACTGTTACAGGAAATTATAGTGGAGGCCAGGAACCTCAGTGATGCAGAGATGTAAGCCCTCTGATTCATCTTCAAAGGGATGCTTCAGTGTGTGTGTGTGTGTGTGTGTGTGTTTGTGTTCGCGCGCGTGTGAAAGAGAGAGCAGTGTGTGCGTATAGAGTAGATGTCTTTATCTCCATTTGCAAAAGGCTATCTTGGCAATTTGTTATTAACCAACTCGCCACATTGATGAAATGATGAAATGAGATAAAAACACTATTTTCTCCGTTACCCCTCTGACTCTGTCACTCTCTGTTCCTCCAGCTGTTCAGTGTTCCTGCTGGATCGTGTCAGTCATGAGCTGGTGGCGAAGGTGTTTGACGGGGGCGTGGTTAGTGATGAAGAGGTACAACATGCAGCTTGGGCACCATGATCGCACGTCATCCCTTTTGCTTTCTCCACACGTTCCCTCTCTGTCTCTGGTGTCAACCATCAAATAAAAGCCAAAATAGTTATTGATAGTTATTGATTTTTCTTAATGAAGCAATTGCATGTGTGTGTGTGCGTGTGAGTGCAGAATGAGTTTCGTATCCCAGCAGATCAGGGTATCGCAGGCCACGTGGCAACCACTGGTCAGATCCTAAACATTAAAGACGCCTACTCCCATCCTCTCTTCTACCGAGGCGTGGACGACAGCACCGGCTTCAAGACTCGCAACATCCTCTGTTTCCCCATCAAAGACGAAAACAATGGTAAGTTGTTTACAGTAAATTCAACATATGCACACACGAACAACAGTTTGTGAAAAGTGAAAAAATGCAAACAATAAAATAGATAAAAACACAATTAAAACATTTATAACAAGAAAACATGGTTACACTTTATGTACGCCTACAATAAGTTTACAGAATATTTGTTACGTTTAATTAATCTTTATTGAACAGTCTAATGTTCAACAATGTAGGCACACATACTCACCTAACATTTAGTAAACAATTCAATGGTTAGGTTTAGCGTGAGTCTAATAACGCACTAATCTATAGTCCACTGTTGACATTTCTTTACACTGTCAGATTTAGTTTTATTACATTAATGGTAGAAACTATTTTAAAAACCAAGCTACATTTCCACACAGGTGCTCCCTCAGAATAGCACAAAGAGTTGTTACATCACATTCTTTTGCCTAAATGACGGTTGCGTCTCCAAAGTGCATAAAGTGCACTTTAGAAGCCGTCTTCAGTCTGTTCCATACTTAGAAATTACAGAAAACTCAGACTTTGATGGCGCTACTTCTTGCTGTATCCAAGCAGAGAAACTTTAGATCCTGTGTGATTTGTCTCCATCTAAAAAACTGTCTGAAGCTCAGATTAAGAGTTGAAAATCAGATCTTTTTATGTGCGATTAGGCTCAGCTCCAGTGTGAAATTAATTTAGGTTAGCAGATTCAACGTCTGTTCTGCACCTCGGACTGTTGCATCTTGTGCCTCATTTTCTCATCCTTGACTCTCATCTACCACTTTCCATTTTTCCTCATCACCAACTTCCTCTCCCTGCATCCATCCATTTCTGCATCCCTCACTCCTTTCTAACCTCCACTCACTGCCCCCCCCTCAACGGCCCACCCTCCTTTTCTCACTCTTTTCCTCTCTCTCTCTTTCTCTTTACTTCTGTCCACCTCAACTTTCTTTAAATCGTTCTTCCTCTAGAGGTGATCGGGGTGGCTGAGTTGGTGAATAAAATGAATGGGCCGTGGTTCAACCGTTTCGATGAGGATCTGGCCACAGCTTTCTCCATCTACTGTGGTATCAGCATTGCCCATGTAAGTCTTCTCTCCCACTGAAAGAAAGTCTTGGGAACGGATTCTCTATAACCTTTACATCTTCTGGTTCAGTATGTTGAATAGCCACTGAAAGGCAAGGCATTAAATTGTTCCTGGTATATTTATATTTGTCCACTTGTATGGTTCCATATGAAGAGAGAAAGAAGCCAAGCTATAAACCAAGCATATTAAACATGAAGTAAATAAACTCCCCAACAGCTAGAGAAACATTATCAGTTGCAAATTAATTAACAGCTTCTAACACTTATTATCTTTGTTAGCAGCAGCCGCAATGAAAAAGTATGAAACAGTAAAACATTAAAATGTAGCATTTTTGCAGCCACGCATTCATCTTCATACAAGCTGGCCATTGTAAACAATCCTCACCTTGATTTTAAAAAACAGCTCATAATATAAATGTACTGTATAACAGTTTCATCTCTGCAACCTCCATGCAGCTTAATAGTCATGAACTAGATCTAAGTGCACAGAGAGGAGTAACAGAAAGTGCACACAGCGTATCGATCATTAGGAGTCTCTTACCCCTTAAAGCAGTGCGGTAGATCTGTTGTTAGTGCTGCCAGAAAGATCGAACGGGATCAGTTCAGTGGGAGTGAAATGCTCGGTCAAGGCGGAGAAGAGCAAAGTCTCGAGGGAAATTTAAAGAGATTGGGTCTGTGATGGGACTGAGTGGCTTTTATGGTGTAGTTCATATGCATTGTATGACTGCCGCAAACCCATTAACACACATTCGGCTGAACTTCTGCATGTTAAAGAAGACAACGAGGACTGGGACACTTGTGACGATAATGATGGTCATAGACAGGAGAGCTAGGGGGCTGCGCTGTAGTTGTGTTGTTGATTGCAATGTTTTTGAGATCGATTTCTAAACACACAACATTTAAAGTCGTTTCAAATTTTGCTTTAAAGCAGGTATTATTTTTTTTTTAAATGTGATGATAAAACTTCGTCATCATGTCTCTCTTTATTGTGGAACCTTTCGGCTCTTACCAGAACACAGTGGAAACATTAATTAAAATTGATTCACTCTGTGTAAATGGATTGATTTCTCTTGCCTCTAACAATGCCTCAGGCAGTCATGCAATTCATTTGAGTTTAATTGATTTAAAAATGAATTAAATCAATAATTGACTGGTATAGTTTCTTAACTGTTAATTACATGTTTACAACTAATTTCACATGATGTTCCATAAGAAAGGCATAATAATGCAGAATGCCTTAAAGCAGAGAGACCAAGATGAAGGAGGAAAGGAGGGAGGGAAAGAAATAAAGAAAGAAAGAAAGAAAGAAAGAAAGAAAGAAGTACAGCTGTGATGATATTTAATTCAGCATTTCCGATTCACCTTCACATGAAGTAGCTTCTGACCTTTGAATGACTGCAGGTACTCGATAGTTTATCTACAAACTATAAAGATATTTGATTGGAAAAATAATTGCCTTCTAGGCAGCTCATCAATCATTTAAACATGACCAAATGCATTATTTATCGATGCTCACTCTGTATCATGGTGTACATTATGCTGTGGGTTGCAAAAAGCAGTTCCCTCTTGTGCTGAAATGTAAGCAGCATTCAGTTGTTAATCATAAATCTCTGGTTTGCTATTTGAAGATGGACACACGCACACACACACACATACACACACACTTAGAAGCATTTGCCCAAGTAGATTAACATGAAAGGCAAAAATGGGCTCAGCCGGATGATCTATAATCAGTAGGAGACAAAGTCTGCGTATAGTGCTGGGGTAGATTCCAATTTCCTGATGATATTATTAGAAAACGTTTGACTTTACTTTCAAATCAGGCTTTTTTGGACACAGTTTGTTTTTGCAAATATATGAAAATAATGAAAACATTTTTAGATTACGTTCATTAAGTTCCTTTCTTCTACCACTGTACATCATATTGTAGCCAGGTTACTGTGTTGTTGTACCGTTTGTTATAGTGTTACTATAACCTGGTGTCTGTTCCTCTAGTCTCTGCTCTACAAGAGGGTCCATGAAGCTCAGTTCAGGTCCCACCTGGCCAATGAAATGATGATGTACCACATGAAGGTAAAATCCCCTTGACGCGTCTCACTCACTCTCCCACACAGGCGCAGTGGTATTCTCTGACACAGTCAATATCGTTTACTCAGTATGATTCAGTGTGTGTATGTTGCAGGTTTCAGAGGAAGAGGTGACTAAGCTGCTGGTGACGGGGATTGATCCAGTGAAGGAGATCCACCCCTGCTTCGCCGAGTTCACATACACCCCTCGCTCCCTTCTGGATGACACCACGCCCATGGTGAGGAACAGAGGTTGACAGGAAAAGGGAGAGGAGAGAGAGACGGGGAGAGATGAGATGAGGCAGAAACAAGGAAAGAAAGCTGATGTAACCTTTTCTGTTGTGTGTGTCTGCAGTGCGTCCTCAGCATGTTTGAAGATATGGGTTTCATCAACACATACAAGATTGACCTGCACACGCTCGCCAGGTCTGAAAGCACCATCAATTCATATACTGAATATAGGAGCCTGTGTGTATGTGTGCGTCCTCCAATTACTTTAAGTAGTCTGTATTGATAAATTGATCACACGTCCAGTCTGTTTTTGGTTGTCACTGCTTTTAGAGTGTCTTGTATCAGGGATTTTTCTAATATTTATTGACCCTGTCAATCAACTGTGAGACCTGATACGCAGTGTCTTTATACTACATTTATCACTGGCAACATGCTGAGATGCAGACCATAATTTAACTGCTGCTTTGGTGTCAGGTTCTGCCTGATGGTGAAGAAAGGCTACAGAGACCCTCCCTACCACAACTGGATGCACGCCTTCTCCGTCTCACACTTCTGCTACCTGCTCTACAAAAACCTAGGGCTGTCCAACTACCTCGAGTGAGTGTGCCAATCTTAAACACTCTAGAAATGTAATCTCACAATTGTTTATGTCGCTAAAATGATCCCACTTTGCCCGATGTCTTCTCTTTTTAGGGATATAGAGATTTTAGCTCTCTTTGTCTCCTGTATGTGCCATGACCTGGACCACCGTGGCACTAACAATTCTTTCCAAGTTGCCTCGGTGAGCGCACAAATTATGTTTCTGCTTTACTAATGTTCATACGATGAAGTGTCTGGAATGATACAAAGTGGAAAGAAAAGGAAGTGCATGGCACTGAATAAGAACATTAATCCTCCCAAGCACGTAGAGTGCAGTAGAGCAACACTTCACCGGCACTTTAAAAATGCAGACAAAAAAATTGACTTTTAGATGAAGCACGTCAATAAGAGCCAGGCTCTGGGTGTTTTTCTGTAATATCAGTACGTGGTTGTGTATCTGCATTTGTGAAAGTGCCCCACTGAGACACTAGATGTCATTGTGATTAGGAGCATGTTGCTCTGTTCCACTCTAATCATGCATAAACCTTCAGCACCGAAATGACACACACACACATTATCAACTGTCATTATGCAGTGTATCAGAGCTTTATCAGCTCTTTTATGATTTATATTTCAAACCTCATGTTCAAGCTGACAAGCATGTTTAAAAAGAAGTCAGTGTATTTTATTGAGGGATTATGATTCATTTGAGTCAATACAACGTGTACACTGAAGGGATTGTGTTTCATTTGTCTTTCTTTTTCTATTTTCAGCAATCTGTGTTGGCTGCTCTCTACAGCTCCGAGGGATCTGTGATGGAGGTAAACTCACAACCAGTTACATTGCTCACTGGTTATACTGGTTTGTTCTTTCATAGTTAATAAACCTCAGTCTCTGAGAAATACTAATATTGTTGTGTTCCAGTGCGACATCTAGTGGTCAAAATCAAACTTGAATTCTTTGTAGCAGTGGGAGGCATTTATATTGGCTACACATTACTTCAGAAGCAACCATTTTCCCATCATGCTTCTTTTTTTTTTTTTTTTTTTGCCACGACAGAGACATCACTTCGCCCAGGCCATTGCCATTCTGAACACTCATGGCTGCAACATCTTTGAGAAGTTCTCCAGGAAGGTGAGATATAAAATCTGACATTCACACATTACAAATGTCTCTCATCTCTCTCTCTCTCTCTCTCATTTAGATTCCACATTCAGCCGTCACTGTGTGTGAAAGCTTAAGTTGTTTTTGATGTGTTTTTAGGACTACCAGCGCATGCTGGATTTGATGAGAGACATCATTCTGGCGACAGACCTGGCTCACCACCTTCGCATTTTCAAGGACTTACAGAAGATGGCTGATGGTACGCCACAATAGTTCAGTATGCACAGCCACATCTCTACCTTTGCTTTTTACTCACACCCACACACAGCAAAGGGAGGCTTTGTTCAGATGCATGGTCCAGATTGGTGACGCTAAAGCAGTGTTTTTACTTTTTCTTTCACAAAAAAAACATATTTATCATATCATATGAATGATATTTGAAGCATACATCATTGAATATCAGAAATATATTTTTCTTGATTTGTGATTGACTGATTTGTGATGAATCAAAAGGAAACCCATATAATTTAGGTTCATTCTTTAGCTAAATAATCACTGAAAAATGTATAAATTGTGAAATTATGAACCCATTTCCTCTGCAGCGTGGCTCCCCCTTGGCACCACACAAAAGGCACATTCTGACTCTATACTTTCATTACACATCTTATTTTGCAGAGATCTGGACTCAAACTTGCAGCATTCATCACTGACATTCTTAAAAATTCTCAACAATTTACCCTTTTGAGGACGCAGTTGCTTACTGCACTCTTATGTAATATAATTGGCTGTAACCTCCTGGCCAGTGGTTTGTTACGCCTGAATGCAGCCAATTATAAGGCATCCTGAGTGGATGGCTCCTCAGTGGAATCCATTTTTAGTTGTTAAAGCAATTCAAGGACATTAAAAACCTCAGAATGAGTTAGCAACCTCCTCACACCACAGACTGTGTAACTTGTCAATCATGGACTGAAATAGTTGAACTAAAAAAAAGAGTGGAGATATAAAGAGTCAAAGTTCCATTTAAACATCTCTTAACAAATATACAAAATGTCCTTACCTAACATCTCAATGAGGTTGTTGAACATCGTAATCTAAAAAGACATAGTAGCTGGGTATTTTGAGTACGGGACACTAAAATGCAATGAGTTTCAAAAAATTGTTATTAATAAGTTAAATGTTTCAATCTGAATTTTTACTGTGGTTTACCATTTTTTTACATCTGTGCGTTTCAGACGGATACAATCCAAAAAGCCGAACCCACCGCTCCATGCTGCTGTGCCTGTTGATGACGTCGTGTGACCTGTCAGACCAAACCAAGGGCTGGAAAACTACACGCAAGATTGCTGTCAGTTCAAGTCCATACCTGTGTCTGTGTCAAAATGTGTTTCGTTTTTAAAACACTGACTTGATGATTTGGCAAATATATTCATTTATCACAACATTAGGGGATGTCAGGTTTAACTTTAAGAAATTACATAACGATATATGAATCATCACCCACAGATATTTTGGTCATACTCCTGCAAATGGCCTCGATATGAGGTACTACACCTTTATACTGTAGTAAATTCAATCATGCAGATGTGTCCCATGATGAACAATTATTCTAGTAATTTGAATAATTATTAATAATAATACTCAGTAATTAGTATGGTGCAAGTTGCAGAAGTGTAGTCTCGGAAGTAGTAGTGGCAATTAAAGTGGTCTAATACACTTTGACATTTAAAAACAGCTTGTTCCACAAATTCCAAAAATGTTTGACGTGATGTAGAAACTGGACATTAACATACTGTCTCTTTTAGACGACATGCAGTAGACTATGCAGTAAAACAAACTCATTTCTAGAACAATCAAGATAATGAAATGCAAAGCTGTACAGTAGAAAGCGTTTCAGTCTATATTCCATGATATTCTATCATGTGAAACTGCACTCCACTTTAGGATTATGTTTAATCTTGGTCTGCCCCCTTTTTCAACACCAACACCCTGACCCTTGTCCTAAATCCAACACCCTAAATCTCCAAATACTGGACACCTAGAGCAAATGCACTGTAATCCTTGCTCCCAAAAACTGAAATGCATTTCTGTTTAATTCAGGGGAGGAAATTATTCTACAATGTCTGGTTTGTACTGGTCTCAGTTGGTACACTATTTTCTCATGGGTCATAAAATGCATGAGGATTAATGAAAAACAGCAATCACACCAAAATTGTAATAAAGGGCGCTGATACTTTATCTTGGATAATCCAGTTACAGTCATGTTTGCAAATATGAGAAATTCTCTCCTAAAGCTACAAGCCCAGACTGCGATACACCAGGTTTGCATTAGATATTGTAATATTGTATTGTATGTTACATTACATAGTACCTTGAAATATCCTATTTTAAATTTCAAAATTGCTTATGTCCATGTTTAAGTTAAATGTAAAATGTAAAACTGAGTGTTAGTCTGTCTCAAAAAAGATGCCATTAGAGTTTAGAGTTGAGGTTATACTCAATAAGGAAATATCAAGTGGAGTCAGTTTATATTCAACATTATATGCATGGAAGCTGTATTTAAAGAGGAACTCAATCAGTGTCACTATGAAAATGAACCCGTATGAACAATAACAGATGTTTGCCTCTGTGTCCACAGGAGCTGATTTATAAAGAGTTCTTCTCTCAAGGAGATCTGGTATGTGTCAGTGAACTCTGACTGTTAAATGACATGTGAAATGATTTAGCGAGTGGCTAAAGTGTGTGTCATTTTACACAATGGTGAGCTCATTATTCATGTCTGTCTGTACTGTGTGTGCGTGTGTGTGCAGGAAAAAGCCATGGGGAACAGGCCCAGTGAGATGATGGACAGAGAAAAAGCATACATCCCAGAACTACAGATAAGCTTCATGGAACATATCGCCATGCCCATCTACAAGTGCGTACGAAAAAACTAAAACATCACATCCTTCCTAGCCAGATCGCTTTAGGCATATATCACTTTGTCTCAGCGTTAGGACTGACCTTGGTCCCCACATTACAAGTATTGAACACTGGGTGAGAAATATAATTTTGAATATTGCTTCCAAGCAGAAAATAGTAATCAGAAATCTCTTCCCCTGTATGTAAACTGAATTTAGATTTTGTACAGTATATTTTGTTTTTAATGTGAAAGGAGCCACTCTTATGGACAAGTTTCCCTCAGCTCCCTGGAGCGTTTTAGTGTCTCTGCCCCCAAGAGGCCAAATAAGCCGTGATTGCAGGTGTCGTGTAAAAAGAAGATACCATATAACACAGTTAAAAAGAGGACATGCAAGAATATAAGCACTCAAAAGAATTTGTTATTAAATGATCGTTTATACCTTTTAGTTTGGGACTAATATACATTACTCATGTGGAAGCCTCTCTTCACAGAGTCTTACAATAACAAACAGCTCATGTGCCACTGCTGTCTTCTGTCCTTCCAGGCTGCTATCTGAACTGTTTCCTGGGGCCACTGAGCTGTACGAGAGAGTGGCGGCAAATCGGGAGCAGTGGACCAAAGTGTCCCACAAGTTCACCATCCGTGGGTTGCCTAGCAACAACAGCCTAGACTTCCTGGACCAGGAATATGAGCTGCTGCAGTCCCAGGGTGCATTTGGGAGCGACGACCACTGCCTCAACGGTTGCCTTGACGATGCAGAGGGAGGGAGGGGTCAGTGACGACAGCGGGCTGCCGATGATTTCCTGAAATTTTCTGTGGTCCAATAAGAGGCCGAGGATTCCTTTTTAGCGACCTAAGAGGGAGGGGTCTCGCTACTGTCAATCACTTAGATGCTTAGCAAGCCATGCAGAATGGACAGGACAAAGTTTCAAACCAGTTGAATCAGACAAGTGATTTGAAACAAGTGGATCCATCTGAGCTGGTTCAGTGATTAGATGCTACTTGTTGCTTGTGTCTCCAGTTCAGGAAAGCAGAGGGTGGTGACTTTATATTTTTTCAGCAGCTCTACTGGAAAAATAAGTTTTTACCACAAGTTAATTCATACAGTACTGATCCTGATTAAGATTGTAAAAACACACACACACTGACACACGTATGTACATGCACATAACATTTAGACACACAAGACAGAGAAAAAACAAGTCATTGTTATGGAAAAAGACTACTTCAACATGTAACAGTGAGATAAAGTGCTATACTTTCTGTAAAATGTTTCATAATAGCTTATATTGATTTAAATGGCTCAGCTTTGTTCACACAAAAGCAGCTGCCATACTGTAGTCCCTCACCTGATGCTTATGAATGCATGCTGTATGGACACCTCATGTATTATTCCTTTTATCTGGGTCAGTGTTGATTTCTCCATGGCTAAGAAATTAATGCAGTCCATTTTTATACCACCAGAACAGATTTTTCTATTCAGCTCTTCGAAGTATATTTAATTAATTCATGATCATGAAGTTGCACAAGGGAGATTTGTTCATTTGCTTTGACATTTTAACCCTCATGTGTACTGAGTCACTTTTCCTCATTTTTTTGGGTTGCTTAAGGGACAATTTGACAATCACTGATCATTCACAGAGTCTCAGATCCCCTGCCATGACACCTCACTCCACACATAAAACATTGAAAACACATGCCCTGTGCATATTATTTGGATGCCACTGCATCAGGTATGCATTTACACCTCAAAACAAAAGACACCTAATTTTAAACCCACCCTCATTTTTCTCAGCATCATGTGCACTCCCATGCACCTTTTAGACTTTGTTTTATTTTTTTAGTTTACGGATCTCCTCATTAAACCACTTTAGATAGAGAGCAACCGAAGCCCTTTAAAAGATCCATCTCATCTGTTAGTGTAAATGTGCCAGAGTAGAGTGTGTTATATGGAGTGTGTCATTGGGTGTGTCATATGGATCTGCCTTATTGCGCATCTTTGCTGCCTTTCTTAGAGCTTTTAATATATGAAAATTGAAATAAAGCGTCTGTTTAGTATGTATGTTGTATATTTGTTATAGACATAGTTTGAGTATCAATGTGTTGACTGAATGATCACCATGCTCAGAAGATGTATATTTGTGAAATACCTGTGTGAAGACCTCAGATGTCATGCCATTTCACTTCTTTCTATTCTAAGTTATGAATACAGCGACCAATGGACATATGGCAGACACAACAGCATTTTTTCAGTTGTCAGTGCACCCACAAATTGTTCTCAAGAAGGGACTAGAGATGTGGCCGTCACAGAAATGACTCTTTCCTGAACACATCAACAGTTCACAATTGCTGCACTCCAAAGGAAATGTTTGGAAACTTAGAGTTAAAGCTCTCAGATTGTGCCTCGTAGGAAACCTGACATGTTGGGGCTCTTGGGTTTTGTGTTACAATATGCCATATTCAGTTTTAATATTGTACAATGTTCCAGATAGGAAATGCTGCAGAGCTAGGGTAAGATAACCACAGGAAAAGTTACACAAAGAGAAACTTCTGTAATGAACACTACTGTATGTAGGCAGTGTGCGGAGGGGTGAGAGTTGGTGAGCGAATGAGTGGATGGACGTGTGGGTGAGTCGATGAGAGAGAGTGAGAGGGAGAGAGAGAGGACTGGAGGTAGTTGGTTGAAGATCAAGAGAGAAATGTTTGGTCGAAACGAACATTTCTCTTTTTCTTTACCGAGCTGCTGTTGACAGAGATGAAACAGACACAAACTTCAAGTGATCTGCTAGAATTTCTTAAAATAGCTCCCCTTTATGCAGCACTGATAATGCTAGTGAAGGTAGATGAAAGGAAAAATATTGCAATCATAGGATTTAAATATATAATTTTTCTTTGAACGGGTCTCATGAGGGTGCATTAAGGAGGAAGGTTAATTGGTTAGCAAAGTGGTTTGATGTATATGTTATACCTACACTGGGAAATGTATTGGCACGATTGGCTGAAATTGTTTGATCTGCCTTGGTTTGGTACATGGAGTGAATATTTTTTACCATAAAGTTTTTAAAGGGCATAAAGATGTGTTTGTGGAAAAGCCTCTTTCTCTCTCTCTTTCTTTTCCTCTCACATGTGGTTTTCCCATTTCTGTTATTTTTAAACCACTTACATACATACCTGCCTTTTTCACGTGCAATATGAAGTGTCTGCCTCTGTGATGTTGCATAGATTCCTATGTAAATACCTATGCCTCTTGTTAAATTATTACTTTAGGTCTGGGTTCCCAAAGGCGTTTAATAGTTAGTTCATGATGTTTCCATTAAAAAGAAAAATTTAAAAAAAAAAGTCAACTGACTGCTTGTTTCTCTCAATTCTTTTGAGAGTCCAGACTTAGGTCAGTTTTCTATACAGAGTGTGTATCTGTCCCTTCATGTTTGTTTTTAAAAGTCAGGGCTAAATGTGCCAAGCAAACATTTTCTACTTCCTGGCCAAGCTGCGAACTGAAAAATGGAAAAATATAATATTTTTTGTTCTCTGATGTTGGCGTGTTGATGAGGGCTGTCTTCATATAAAACTTTTCTGTTACATCATGACCAGGTTGGAAATTGCGGCTCATCCAGGAAGTATGAACCCAGTCTATTTCCCATCATCACAGAGCAGCAGGACTCAAACCTGTGATGTAGTGTCATTGTAATGATCACCTGTGACATAATTGTTAAAAGTGGCAAAAATATAATTGCTGTAAATATCAAAGTTTTAAAAGAAAATGTTACTTGATTGTCTGTCATTATTACAATGGGAAGTATTTCAATTCTGTAATGTATTTAAAGTGGTTGCATCCTGTTCTCTTTTTTTTTCATGCCATTTTTGAACAACCCCGAACTTAGACGTTTAGACAGAGGGGATGAAAGAAAACTATATGTGCGTTTAGGATATACATATGATATTCTACCACGAAGAAGAACCCAAACTAATCTGAAATGTATAAATAATGCTTATATTGAGGACTAAATCAAGTCATCTGTTGATTATTTGTTTTGTTGAGTTCTGAGTGCTGGTGGTCTTGTTCTTCTTCAGATGTAATGAATAAGGACATTTTTGACAAGAAGACAAATGGGTGAAATTTTGATTTTTTTTTTCTTTCTTGGAATAAATCTGGTGAAAGGCTTCATGGTTGATGTCTCTAAAAGTGCACAACACAGCATACAGGATACTGCAGTTTCACCATGCACTGTACTATTACTTCACCAGGAAAGTGTACTTGGTTGTCTGTAGTTGTGAGTTTGGATCAGGTGACATTGGGGCTCTGTGACATGGATTTAGTCATCACAGTGGCATCTCTGTTGATCCTGTTGGCCCATCCCATATACTGATACTGTTTAAACATGGCCAGATTAACACATACACTGACTCCTCCCTACAACAGTCAGCATTATGTCCTCTCTACATTCTGCATCTAGTTGAAGTAAAATTATCATAACTTGTTTGTACAGTATCTGAAGCTTTTACTAGGACAAGCAGAAAACAACCAACTGATGTAAAATTTAATTAAACAGAAATTAGTTTTGGAATATGCATAATTTAAGAATTTGACATGGACCCCTTCATTGGATTTTTAGCCGATAATGTGCCTAAAATGATGTCTGTTCCCATACACATCTGGATTTAATCAAATTGTCCCATACCAATTAGAATAAGATAGACCTTTCCAAAAACAAAGCAAGTTTAGTGTTGTGTTGAAATTCAAGCCAGGAAAGTCATCAAAGGTAGAGCATTAAATCTGACATCCTAATTCAAATTTGATTGAAACCAAAGTACAATTTCATTAATGAATTTGAGAAAAAGGACATTATCTTTATAACCCTTTAGCTTTAAAAGATTACGGGCAAGTATTAGTATGTGGAGCTCTGCAAGAGCCTATTTGCATGCAGCAATGTAGTCAACAGAAGTCGGACAGGGACACCTCATATTATTGAAAATACCAAGAACAAAATCATAATTACATCCTCAATAAAAACAAGTGATTCACAGTAAAAATGTTTTAAATGAAGACACTGTTTTACATAACTTTTCTTCACATGATGAAAAATGGCCATTCTGCATTATGAGTGTTTTTAATTTAGATTATTTATGTAAATTATCTGTCTGGGGTCCAATATAGGAGGGGTGGGGTTTTTTTTACCCGTCTATGTCCAGGGGCCCATTTTCTCATAATCTGCCCATGGTGGGATTACTTACTAGAATAACTAAAGAATCTACTTCTTATACTTCTTCCACCACTGAAAAATAACTACTAACATGGCACATAGCAGGTTCAGGAAGACTTGCCCTACAAAATAGACATTCATTATAGATTAAGATTTTTCAATACAAAACATATGAGGAATTTATAAAATATGATGATTTGCTATACATTATGTAAATTAAGTACCCAAATTAATTAATAAAATTAGATAAAACTAGTGTACATGATTGTAAAGTATATCTTTCATCATTTTAAATTATTTCAACAAACTTTACCAAAAAACCAAATAATCGGCAGATTAAAAGTAATAATAATACAATGATATTATATACACAGTGTGGTATTAGTATTTTTACCGCGGTAAAGGCTCTGAATACTTCATCCACCAGTTTCTATGGTAAAACTGCAAGTAAAGTTGTGAAATTGTTCTCAATTATTGATTTCTCGCGCGAGTTGGAGTGCGTGAGCTCTGCGCAATGAGAACTGCAGGTAGTCCGCCATTGCTGCATGAAGAAGTATCGGATCTGGCGTTTGGCTGTCAACAATAAACTTGCGGTGCCGGGACGCGGAGCTACCGAGGTCGAGTGAAAGCTCGTCGGCTGCTCCATAAACCAGTAGTCACCCCCGTCCCTCCCTGGATAACACTTTCATGTGAATACAGAGCCCCACGGACGAGGCAACCATGTCCAATCTCAGCAAAGGCGGCACCAAGAAGGACACCAAAATGAGGATACGGGCCTTTCCTGTAAGTGCACACCGCAGTCGGTGCTATGTCTGCCCGACAGGCGGTGACTCGACCACCGCGGTCTCGGCTGCTGGCTAAATGCTAGCAGGCTAACCAGCTGAGCAGCAGATACGATTTGTCTATCCGTAAACAAAGTGCAGCCGTCAAATGTCCAGTCGCCCTCACTCTTGGTTGGTCGGTTGGGTGGCTGCTCTGTTGACCTCGGTGATAAATTTTATGAGTCACTTTCATTGTCTTTAACGTTAAAATATGTCACAACTCCCGAAACCGTAGCTTGCATATTGGGTCAGTCGACATAGCCGACGCTAGCGTTAGCCCTGGCTCTTGACACTTGTTGTTTTGACTGCTTTTGGCTTTCCCTTTATCAAATGCATCACATTTTGTTGTGTCTGAGCTCTAGATCTGGCTGACGTTTCTGTTCTAAAATGCTTGCTAGATTTCCCAAATGCATGCAAGAACAAGCAGCAACGTTACCACAGCTGTAAATGGATGCAAACAAAAAAAACAAGCCATCTAACCTAGTTCTGGGTTTGCATTAATGACTCAGACAGTGTTGATTCGAAGTCCTGGTATTGTTATGTCCGTAGTAAAACGGTGATGTAGGATTCCTCTCCTCGTCTTGCTGGCACTCCGTTTGTCTGCAAGTCATTGAAAGACCTCATTTATGAACTGACCTCATTCTGCATAACATGAAATTTCAGTCTGTCTGTGACTGGCTGAGTGAGTCTGTACATTAGGGTAACTAACAAAAATTTCAAGTTGTGCGCCAGTGGCAGTGGCCACATAGTTTGCTCATGTTAATACAGAGAACACCTTTACTTAAGTGAGCCTGTTGAATGTGGCTCAGTCCTGACAGACCTGCTGTCGGAGCAGCATCTTGACATGCATGTGTTCGGGCTTGTCTGCTAAGCACACTGCACACACTGTTCCTCTTGACTTGGGGTGGCACGTTTTCTCCCATGGCCAACATGTCTTTGGATATTGGGAAGCCTACATGCTTGCTGATGATAACTGTTTAAGTTTATAGCTTTTTGATATTTGTTATATTTGTTATATATATTATAATGATGCACCACAGCTCAGTACTGTGCAAAACTACATTTTTCTTCACTTTTTCTGTTGCTGATAAGTTAAAAATGTGTGTGACTGATAAGTTTCCTGCATTACCTATTTGTACTAAAAGCTTGACGAATCAAATGCATTTTCCAACCACACCATGCAATCTGAAACTACCAGCTTTTAAATGGTAGTTGAAAACTTAGAAAATTGAAGTTGCAATAAGTTTTAATGTGCATAAGAAGCTAATAAGGACTTTGCAGTTTTGGTCAGTTTAGTCATATTTAGAAAATGTGTGGGATTGGCAGATAAAGCAATACAAAACCCCAACTGAGTAATCTCACAATTATGGACATATATTATTGTTTCTTAAACATTTAATACTTATTGGTTGGCCTACATACTGACAGGCCCTACTCATAGTGCAAGGATATTGGCATGTATCTTCTTAATTTTACATCTTCTTCATAAAGCTGATGCTTTTAGTAAGAACTACTGGGGCCGTAGCTCCAACAAAGATTCCTCTTCCTGGGGGTTTCTTGTCTTCCTCAAGGACACTTCAACAGGGCATGAAAGAAATTGAACATCTGACCTTTACCCTTTTTGGGCCGGACTGCCTAACCCCTATCCCAATAATTTATTGGGTTAATTGGCTTTTAAGTAAAATGTCAAAGGTAAACTGAGATTGAGTAAATAGGGAGACATGATTCATCCTAACCAAAATTAATCATCCTTACCACAGATACTGCGAAGATATACCAGACATATCAGACTATCTCACGATCTTTAAAGAAATTGAAAAGTGTCTCTTAACCCTCGACAGTGATCGAATGATAAAATAACTCATTGTTCAATGCTATGTAATAACTCATTTGTTACCTGTCTGTTACAGTATAGAGGTTTAGTACTTGGGGCACATTTGTGACATTTAAGTTCAGTCTTTTTTGGTATGTGAGTTTGTGTTTAATACAACTTAATTCTCCTGTGTTTGTATTTAATTGAGTTGGCATGGTAACAGCACTCCTTGGAGCTGTTAATGTAGTTGTCATATTAGGACCTTTTTGATGTAAGGCATCTTATTTGCCCTGGTTGATTCTTCCAGACCTTTCTTTCAGGTTTAGTAAAACTTCTCCATTATTTTCTATAATCGGCAAACATCAACCACGGCTCAAATATCAACCCTAATCATCTATGTATTAAGGCATATGTTTGGTGGAGATCCTCAAGGGCATTAAACACAACAGGGGAGGAAGTATCACCTCAGAATTTCAGACTGGAGCAGAAGGTTCCCTTACTCGTTTATGTTTTTGTATAAACCCACGGATGTGTGAACAGCAAAGATGTGGGAGTTTGTGGGAGAAGTGTTGCCGTCATCTCAGGTAGAACACAGTGCCCTGTTAGTGGCTCATTCTCAGTAATAAAGTAGATAGTTAAAGACTGTGAATTGACAATTATGGAATATTATAGACCTTTACAAGGCTTGTGGTTATTAATGGGGACTAATCGGATAGAACATTCATTCTGCATTCCATTCCCTGCCCCTCATTTCCATACATAGCGGTGGGAGCCTTTCTGCATCGGGAGGCTTTATTTACAAAAAATATCCTTGTTTCTAATTGTTGCTTCAAACAATGATAGGTGATGGTCAGTTTATTCAATCCATTACTGGCTTTTGCAGATGACGATGGATGAGAAGTACGTCAACAATATTTGGGACCTTCTGAAGAATGCCATCCAGGAGATACAGAGGAAGAATAACAGTGGTCTGAGCTTTGAGGAACTATACAGGAACGCCTACACGATGGTGCTCCACAAACATGGAGAGAAGCTGTACACAGGCCTGCGGGAGGTCGTCACTGAACACCTTATCAACAAAGTAAGACTAACAGAGATTACAGGTTACAGGTTGCAGAACTTTAAGTATATTTTGGCAGGACCAGTCAGGATTACACACCCTTTAGTTATCACATTAGTTATTTCTTAACCCTTCAAGTTCATAGTATTTTGAATTTCCATGCAGTTGCCTTCACATAAAAGGCTGATTTACATGAAAATATCACTATATCTTTAACAAGAAAATGTGCTTTGTCAGTGTCAGAAGAAATTATAGCACC